GTAGTCGTGGGGACACTGGCGTAAACGTGTGTGTGCACTGTCTGTGTGTGTGTTTGCGAGTGTCCGCTAATTCTCAGGGAAAAGGGCAAGGAGCGCGCACAGCTCTGCCAGCATCTTTGGCATAATCGACGCACGCACACACACACATCTGTTGCACGCACGTAGACGCACGCTCGCTCCCCGTACCGCGCCAAACCCATTTTTCAGACTTCCGGTTTGGCTCAGGGATGCTGCCGCGGCGGTCCGCCGACGCGGAGCGGTGCTTGGCTCGGCTGAACGCACAGTGGGCCAGAAGACCGGTGGAGGCGGACAAAATTCCCAACGCGTTTTGAGCTCCAGAGTCGCTAAATGGGACTCGAACCGAGCGTGTGACCCCACCAATGGATTCCTCGTTCGGAGAGCAATCCATTGATGGGGTCACACGTTCGGTTCGAGTCCCATTTAGCGACTCTGGAGCTCGAAACGCGTTTCGAGTTTTGTCCGCCTCCGCCGGTCTTCTGGCCCACTGTGGAACATGAACCTCGACGTTGGCCGCCATGTTTCCCCCTGGCCGGCCCAGTTCCTTCCTTGTTCCTTGTCCGATCGGCGCGGCGGCGGCCCCGGGCACCGCGATGCGCGATGCGCGATGCACTCGCCGGTCACGACTCGCCGCCCCGTCGTCGCCGTCCTTATGACCTGCATCGCCTCCATCACGAGCGTCGTCGTAGCGTGGCCGACGTGACCGCGCCGAACGGAACGGACAATGCCGCGGAGGCCATTTAAACGCTTCGCGCCGTCATATCAAAGCGTGTGTGTGTGTGGTACACGTGCCTGTGCCCCGGCTGGACTCGGTCCGCGCGCTCGGCTCGGCTCGGCTCGGCCCGGCTCGGCTGCCGCTGGGAAGCGAGGCAGGTGTGCAGGGTGCGATCCAAACCGGCTCTGGAGGAGGTCCTCCCTGGGGGAGGCAGGCAGCAGCAGGCTGGCTCTCCGGAACGTCGCTCTGTCTCTCTCGCACCCGTGAGGACGGCCCGTGAGTGCGAGAGAGAGGGAGAGAGAGAGGCGCCGTTTCGGAATCGGCGGACAGATTAGGGGTGGATAAGCGCGCCGTGTCTTTGCAGTGTAACGGCCCGGCCGGCGTCGCCGAGGAGAACGCCGAACAAAAACAAGACCCCAGAAGCGAGTTGCGAGTTGTTGTTGTTCCGCGACGTCACGTGTCGGAACGGTTTGGCCGCCGCTCAGGGTTCCAGGGCTCCAGCGTTCCAGGCAGTGGAGTGGATTGGGTTTCCGAGGATGCGGCGGCACGACGCCGGAAACGCAATACTCCTCGTGGAGCGAAGGGGCAGGACGGCGGCCTCTTCCAGTGGCGCGGCGGGGCCGCCCCGCTTGTCCAGGGCCTCCAGGGACTCCAGGGCAGCGGAGCAATGTGTCGCGAGGCCCCCGCCGCGCCGCGGCTCTTGTCAGATCCCCGCTGCTGCTTGATCACGAACAGAAGCGCTCCCTGTGGGACAATGCTCGGCCTGGTAATCGGGTTACATGTCGAACACCGCCGTGCCGTTCCACGAGTGTTCCGCGAGTGTTCCAGGCGGCCGCGGGGTGGCTGCCGTGGCTGCAGCGCTGCAGCGATGATTTTTATGAAATGCCGGCGGGGCGGGTCGTTCCCTGGGGACCCGGCCCCCCGGCCGATTCCCAAGTCCAGGTCGGCCAAGTGCGGGGCGTGGCGGCTGGCGGCGTGGCGGCCGGCGCGAGCAGAAGGCAAGCATAGGCAAATGCCGCCGGCGGTTTCATGAGCGATTTCTCATCGCCGGTCTGCGCGCCCGGCCAGAGAGGTGGCTGGCCGATTTGGCTGGCCGCGGGCGCTGCCGCTGTCTCTCTCGCACTCACGGCGCGGCCCGCGCAGGTGCGAGAGAGACAGTCGCGGATTAGCGGCGACCGCGGGGGGAAAGTGTCTCGCGGGTCATTCATATTCGAGTTGGTATTCGGGGCCATCTGATTGGGCAGCCCACTGACCTCACCCTTCCCCCCTCCCCCTCCCCTCGGCCCGCAGGTGTGCACGGTGCACCACACCGGGGCCCTCCGCTGCACACCTGCCGGTGACGTCACCGACCAGCACGGCCAGGACCACGGGGCGTAACGGGCCCGCCCAGCGGAAAGGGAAACTGTGCCAAATGTGTGTGTGTGTGTGTATCGATGCATCCATGCGTGTGTGTGTGTGACGTCGGTGTGCGTTCCCGAATGACACTTAGCTCATTTTATAGTGAGGGCCCACTCGTCGATTTCGGCTCGCCCCGCCGGGCTGGCCGTCCGTCTCAATGGCACTGCAGAAATGACTTTTATTTGGCAGTGCACCGAGGCGCTGGCGTGGCAGTGGCGTGGCCGAGGCCGCTCGCCTGCTCGTAAATTCCTCCGGTTTAGGTCCGTGTCACTTTGTCAGCCCCGGTGCGCTGTGCTGCGCTGCGCCGCGCCGCCACACTGCCGGTGCTGGACCGACCGGACGATGCAGGATGCCAGCGGACCCAGCGGACCCCGTCTTTATCTTTACGACCTGGAAGGCAGTGGCGGGGCAGGGGGAGAGAGGGGGGGGGCGACGCCAAGTGCGAATTTTGCCACTCGCGCATTGTCATTGTGTCGGGGTGTATCGGCGACTTTGCTGGTCGTGGCACCGACAGTGTGGCACCACCTCGTCTCCTCAACTCGTGATCCGCGGCATTGTTGTCGGCGAGTGCCGAGTCTGTCTCTCTCGCACTCGCGGGGCGTCGCGTAGGGGTGCGAGAGAGACAGAGCGACGGTCAGGACACTGACTGACACCTGCAGCGAGGCCTGTGTGGCCTGACTGGACCGGCCGGCCAGCCGGCGGGGTTATTGCTCGGACTTCTCTCTCTCTCGCACTCGTTGAAGTCATTAGTAGCAGGCGCGAAAAGCGGCGCGCGGAGCCTTTCCGAAAACTTGTTCGGCCGGCGACTTGACTCGTGTTTGTGTGAGTGTCACCCCTCTCAAAGGGGAAGCGACATTAAATACCGGTACTGTGTCCGAGAGGAGAATGGCTGTCTCGTACAGTACATCCCGTCTGCAAAAATAATAGCTTTGAGCCCTGTTGATTTCTTTACGAAGAAAAGAAATGCCTGTACTAGTTTTCGCTAGCTTTGTAATAATTTTTGCTCGAATATCTTTATGTTTGAATCTCTTTCGGGCTGTTTTCACGACCCTTTATAGTGTGCACTACGTGAAAGTGACGTCCAGCGATCGTTCTCCTCGCTGTCGTTTTGCAGTGCCGGCGTCGCTTTTGTCGTTTTTGAAAAGCGCGCGCCGTTTTACGACGATTTGGCTAATTGGCCGCTCGGCTTCCGTGCGCGCCACAATCAATTTCGATACCTCGATGCTCGATACCTCGACCCTCGATAGTTGGAGGCGATTGCAGAAGAAGGGCCGCCGATAAATTATCGTCGCGACGAATCGCCGCGCTGCCGCGCGCGTCGCGAATTATCCCGGGGCCGTCCCTAAAGCAGACCCGCCCCGTCTCTCCCTCCCTCTCTCTCGCACTCGCACCTGGACAGTACCCCCTCTCGTGAGAGCGAGAGAGACAGCGCGCTGCCAGGGGCGCCGCCACCGGCCGCGGCAGTAAATTATTATTTGTTGGAGTAAATTATTATTTGTTGGGGGGCGCCGCGCGTCAAAACGTTAGAGCGCTATACGGCCCGCGTGTCCCGTTGTTGTTGTTTTACCGCCGGTCGCCGGTTCGTTTTGTTTTTGTTGTTTCCTCCGGAGGGAGAATGGAGAATGTGTCGCTGCTGCCGAACGTCGAACGCTAACGACGACGCGCGGCCCGGGGGCGTGGTTTTTAACGCGACGCGCCCTCGGCACCACCGGGCACGCCCGGCCGCGGGGCCCGCGGGTCAAGGCCCCGTGCCCAGCTGGCCCCGCGACCGTAACTCCGCGGCCCGGCACTGGAGGGCCCCGCCTGGCCCGGTCGGCCCGGCCGCGCGCGTTAGAGTCGCACCTCTTTATGGCCGGGATGCCATTAGCGGCGGCGCTGCGGCGGCGCGTTGAACCGGAGGAAGAGAAGAAGAAATAAATTAAAAGGCGGAGAAAGAAGGAAATTGGGTGGCTCTCGGCGCGTCGGGACTCGAACCCGCGCCCGGGCTGCGTGCGTCGCGCCGGTGCCGTCGCTATAGGCATTCTGCATTCTTCCAGTGCGAGTGCTGGCGGACGGCACCCGACACCGCCCCGTCCGCTGGGCGTGGCGCGGCGCGCGGCCTAGCAGTGGCGCGGCAGCGCGGCATTGTGCCTGCGCTAGGCCCTGCAAGCACTGCAAGCACTGCAAGCAGTCCGCAAGGTGATCCGGTCGTGGTGTCCGCGGGGGAGGCGGCGCGACATGGCGGGGCGGGGCGGGGCGGGGCGCAGTGTGGATTGCGCGGGAACATTTCGCGAGAGGTTGCGGGGGGAGGGGGAGGGGGCAGGGAGGGTCGACCGCGGCTGGTGCCATGGCGGTGCCACCGCCGCCGGCCGCTGCCAGCCGACCTGGGTGGTAGCGATTTCTAGAAACGTAAAGAAACGAGAAAAGCTTAATGAGTGTACATGAAGCCCCCATGCCGTGTGCTGCCGCGCCGTGTGTGCTACTGTGGGGCTGGCTGGCTGGCTGGCTGGCTGGCCGGCTGGCGACTTGTCGGCGAGCGCGGTGGGGCCGCCGGGGTAGAAAAGGATAGAAAAGGAATGTCGCAGTCCGACTTACTTCGGCCGGGGAATTACTGTGAGCAGTGCAGTGCCACGCAGCGCCGCGCAGTGCGTCGAGTGTGGGAAAAATTATGGTTGAAATGGAAAAGCTTGGGTCGATACGTAGTGCGCGCCTCCTGCAGGCTGATTCCGCCTCTCTCGCACTCCTAGGGCGTTTCGAAAGGGTGCGAGAGAGACAGAGCGACTAGACTCTACTGTAGACTTGTGTCTTTCCACCCAGCCGTACACGGAGGGACACTTTGTTGAATTCGAAGAGTGTGGCGGTTTTGCTCATCTTTCCCGTTTTGTTGCAGGATTCGTGTCATGCTCGCCCAACCCATGTAGAAATGGAGGCGCTTGCGTCACGACGGCGCGCGAGGAGCTGCAGTGCAAGTGAGTACCACATTTCGATTATTCCCCCAGATGGCGTATCGAGAGTCGTTGCTCGAACCGCGCGGCGCGAGGCTTTTCACAGCGGGGGACACCTCTGTGAAACCACACTCCGCAACGGCCGCGTCGGTTCGAAAACGGTCCTCTTTCTTCCGTCTGTTTTGTTTTTGGGTTGGTTTGTTGAGAGTGCGAAGAAGGGCGCGCTTGAACGGCGTGCTTGCGTGGACGGCGCGCTTGAAGGCGTCGGCGGCGCGTCGATTTCGATAAATCGAGTTGCTGCGCGGCTGCGCGGTCGCGGACGGCAGCATGGTGGCGCCAAGCGCGCCAAGCGCGGCCAGGCGCAGGTATGGGCATGCGGGGCTGGCAGGCCGGCCGGTCCACCACCGCGACGACCACGCCGTCCTCATTAACATTCAGGCGGTGCGTCGCGGTGCGCGGTGCGCGCTTGGGGCCGCTCCAAAAACCTTCCGCAATGCTCGGCGCTGCACTGCGAACTGCGAGTATACGTAGTAATAATGTCTGGACTGCGCCGCGCCCACTGAGAAACGGGTGCGGATTGTGGAATCGACGACGTGGAGGTCGATTTGATTTAAGTATAGTGATCTGGCGGCTGGAACCTCGGCGGGTATCACTTTCTGGGTGTCTTTGCTGCGCGCTGCGCGTGGCCATGCCCGCCCTGCGCCTCCACGGCGTGCGAACGGCGCGCGCGCCGCCCCGGCAGTGCCCCGGCCGGCCGCTCCACCGCTCGATGTGAGAACGGGCGAAGAAAGTGCGAGCGCGAAGCGGGAACCGACAGCCTTTTGACTGAATAATCGCTAATTGTCGACGGGGAAGGCCGGAAGGGAGGGGGAGGCTTTCGTTCTCCCACATGGCGGCGCGGCGGGGCGTACCTGTTGAACCTCGGCGAGGTAAGGCTGCGAGGCGGCGGCGCCCAGAGCCTTGTAATTGGCGAGCTAGTTAGCGCGGGGCGGGGCCCTGGCGGGGCCCTGGCGGGGCCGTGGAGCCTGCAGGCCGGCAGGGCGATGCTGCGCAGTGCCGCGTCGCGGTGTCTCTCTCTCTCTCGCACTCGTGGGGCGGCCCGCAGGGGTGGGAGAGAGACAGCTTTGTTTGGCCCCGAGGACGGCGGCCTAGCCTGTCAGCCGCCGGTGTCGTAGACATTCGAAATGGGACGGTTCCGCGTCGGGCTTTGTTGTTTTTTTGTGATTTTCCCGCGTTTCGGGTTAAAATTGACGCGACGGGGTCGCCGGGTCATCGCCGCCGAAAGCGGCCGGCTCGGCGGCGCAGCGACCGCGGCGTGGCGGGGGCGGCGGTCTGGCGTGGCTGGAGGGAGGGAGGGTTGCCGCCGCCCCACCCCTCGCCCTGCCTTCCCACGGGAGGGTGGTGCGCTGCTCGGCCTGCTCGACGTCGCCGCCACCCCCTCCACCACTTGTTGGTGCGCGGCCCGCACGGCCTCACACGTGTGCAGCGCGCAGTGTGCACCCTCCCAGTGGAGGAGTCCCAGACCTACGACGCTCCCCCCACCCCCACTCCAGGTTGCGCAGGGATGCAGGGACGACGGCGTCGGCAGCAGCCCTCGGTGTGGCGACGGCGCGTCGTCGGGGGCACGTCGGAGCGAAACAAAAAGTAAAAACCCAAGGGGTTCGGCGAGGGCGGGGGCGGAGAGGGGGGAGGGGGTGCAGGCGCTCCGTGGGAACGTGGGCAAGAAGTGTGGCCAGCCGCCGTGACCGAAGCGAGGCATTGCAGCGGGAGGGGGGGGGGGCTCGCCACGGGCCCAGACACACGCGCAACGCGCGACCCCTCCCCCTTCTCTCTCTCTCTCTCTGTTCATGTTTTCCACTTTTTATTCCGGCTTCCCCATTAGGCCGTCCTCCAGTCCGTTCCAGGCCACTTCCAGGCCTCTTCCAGGCCTTCCAGGCTTTCCAGTGGAGGAAGCGACCGCCGCCTCGCCGCGCCTCGCGGCCAATCCGGACCCAGTTCCGGCCGGGCTTCTGGATTTTGTTGTCCTTGTTGTTGTTGCTGCCCGTCCTGGAACTACAAATTAATTCCTCTTTCGCGTTCGACTGACAGGGCGGGGTTTTTTTCGTCGTCACACATTTTATAGGGGAACCTCGAACCTCTCCATCATACCAGTGTGAGGCAGTAGCCCGGCCGCGTTCGCGCGGACGCGGACGTCACTCAGCTGGCCACCGGCGCTCGCCTGTCTGTCTGTCTGTCCGTCTGTCTGTCGGTCCGTCCGTCTGTCCGGCCGCCCTCCCGAAGAATTTGACGGACCATCTCTAATTACCCCCCTCTAAGAAAATGGGTCTACGGGGGCTGTATAGTGGACAGGCTCTATGGTGGCCTGCCCCGGACGGCCCCGCCTTTCCCACCGGCCGGCCCGCCGCATCCATTGGGCGAACGGACGGACGGACAGACAGACAGGAGGCATGAATGTATGAGAGGATGACGTGAAAGGGACGGACGCGGTGACAGGGGAAGGGGAGGGGGACACTTGAGAGTGGTCGTGCATGCGGCTTCTGCTGTGCTTCTGCCGGGCCGGTGGACGGGGACGACGCCACACACTCCGTCCAGCCGCTCGGCCCGGCTCGGCCGCTTCCGTCGGCCCGATTCATTATTTGTTGTCGTAGCGTAATTAAAACTCGGGCAACTTGTCGACGCGAGGGGCCGAGAGGCCTGAGAAACGGGACGGGGCCGGCCGGCCGGCCAGGTTGGGGTTGCTGCTGTGCGGCTGTGCCTGGCTTTGCCTCGTTCGGACGCTGCTCGCTGCTTTTGAGCGCAGCCCGGACGACACGCGTTTGTGGGTGGATCTGTTTTGGAGTCGATGTGTTTGGCCCTGCTGTCCTTGTTGCTCTTGGCGGTGTCCCGCGGACTGTGAAAAATCGTGTTTTGGGCCGACTTTAAGCATCTACTGCGTCTGATCCGAGGCGGTATGTCGTCCTCCCTCAACGGGCAATTGGTCTTTGAACCTTCCTTTAGCAGGCCTTTGTTACGGAGTGCGATTATCTGCCTTAGTTTGGGAGCAGTATTGCCGCAAAGTTGATCAAAACACGATTTTTCAGACATTTGTGACCGTTTTGATCAACTTTGCGGCAATACTGCTTTCAAACTAAGGCAGATAATCGCTTTCCGTAACAAAGGCATGCAAAAGAAAGGTCCAAAGACCAATTGCCCGTTGAGGGAGGACGAGATACCGCATCGGATCAGACGCAGTAGATGCTTAAAGTCAGCCCAAAACACGATTTTTCAAAGACATTTGTGACCGTTTAGATCAACTTTGCGGCAGTACTGCTCCCAAACTACGGCAGATAATCGCTTTCCGTAACAAAGGCATGCAAAAGGAAGGTCCAAAGACCAATTGCCCGTTGAGGGAGGACGAGATACCGCCTCGGATCAGACGCAGTGGATTCTCAAAGTCGGCCCAAAACACGATTTTTCACAGACATTTGTGACTGTTTTGATCAACTTTGCGGCATTTAAGCAGTCACTGCGTCTGATTCAAGGCGGTATTTCGTCCTCACTATTGCAGCCCACTGTGCGTTGCGTGCCGCTCGCGCTGATTCCCCGCTTTTATTCCCGCTTTCAAGTCCTTCCTCCTCGTCCCGCTCCTCCCAGACCCCTGCGGGCTACTGCCGAGCCGTCGTCGCTCCGTCTCTCTCGCACTCGCGGCGCGTCCCGTAGGGCCCGTAGGGGTGCGAGAGAGACGGAGCGATGAGCGGGTCGGGCCGTGATTCGTGTAGCCCGGCCGGCCCGAGGCTCGGCGGGCTCGGCAGGCTCAGACAGCGCGCGGCGGACGGACGGGACGCGACGCGACGCGTGGGTGTGTGGGTGTGCGAGCGAGACGGAGCGAGAGCAGGTGCTGGCGGGGCCGTGTCGTTCCGGCCCGATAAGCACACGGGTGACCCCGCCCCGCCCCGCCCGCCCCGCCCCGCCCCGCCCCGCCCCGCCTTACCTCGGTGCACCTGGAGCGCGCTCGTCGCACGCTGGTCACACGCTCGGCGGGGCGGGCCACTTCGGCGGGCCACTGCGGCGGGCGCGCCGCGCGATGCGTCAGACGGACTCGCCGGCGAAGCCGCTCGGGACGTCATACGGACCCCCTTGTGCCTACAGTGTGGGCACGCGGCACGCGCGGTGGGTAATTCGCAGAATTTAGCGGGTGACATCGAGCTATCCGCGGTACTCGTGCCCCACACTGTCTCCCTCGCCGTCGCGTCGTCCGGGAAGGACTGCAGGGCAGTCGTTGCTACATTCACGGTGTAAGGATGCTCCACGGAGCAGGCTAGGCGGCCACAACGGGAATTCTGAACGCCTCGCGCCGCGCTATGCCATGTATACATACTGTACACCGTCTTGGATGCGCCCCGCCCCGCCCCGCCCCGTGTCGTGGCCAGGCCAGGCCTTTGTGATCACATGAATTATTGGCTCGTCTCGCCTGGTCGGGCTTGCTGGGCTTGCTGGCTGCTCCCCGGCCCTCTCGTTCTGCGTGGCGTGGCGTGGCGTGGCGCGCTCCGAGAGGCTATCACGAGCCGGCGGCTATCACCCCGTCCACGCCGTGGCCGCGCCTCGTCCTGGTCCACTGGGCCGCCTGTATAAGCGGGGCCGGCCAGGACGAGGGCCTAGACGACGGCGCGCCTCGAGGGGGCCTTGTGCTCTCATTTGTTTACCTGTCGGCCGTCTAGTCGGTCCGCCTGCCTGTCTGCCTGGCCTGAGCGTCTGTCCGCTCGGCCGCGGCCCCGGGGCGAGGCTGAGTGATAGTCGGCCAATGCGAAATCCCGAAGGTTGATTCTCCGATCCGCTTCCTCCGCCGTTGCCAGTGCCGTTGCCAGTGGCGTAGATGCGGGCCTCCCTCCGCGCCTGGCTACGCCACTGGCCGGCCGGGGAAGGCCCTGCTGGCTGACGGGATGACGGGGAGACAATGGCGGTGTGTCCGCGCCGCTCCTCCAGGAGACGGTGCCCAGTGCCCAGTCGGCGGTGGCGTGCCTGGAGGAGGCCGGCGGATGTGCCGC